CATGCAGATTCCTAGGCCCTACCTGAAACCTACTGAATCCAAATCTCTGAAGGTAAAGTCCAGTAATTTATTTTTCTAAAACTTCCTAGGTAATTCTTGTGAAGCCAGCCAGATACCTTCAAGAAGATTAATTAGACCATTGAACTTTGCCGTTTCCTAGTAAGGATGGAATAGCAATGAGGTTCTTGATTGAAGCTGTGATCTGGTCACAACATATTAGAAATAAAAGACACAAACTTGACGTCTCTACCATCCCAAGTCTTCCCAAATACATTACTCCTTAATCATGTAACATCTACATTCAACAAACATACACACAAACTAAGAATATTCATTACTTTATAAAGCTCGTTTACAGCATGAGATTAGTTGTGATTATCCCTGTGTTATAAACATATCAATGACTATATTATTTGTTTTACTTTGTTTTCATGAAGTGTGAAAAGAAACAAAGGGAAAAAATAAAGTTTCAGGACAGTTAATACTTAGGTTTCAATTGTTTGAAACAAGTGTGAGGAAGGAATTTTGCACACTATCTCAATATTCTCTGACAAGATTATGTTAATCTGTATATTCAACATCATTGGATGCTTTACATTCACCACCACAAGGATCCTGAAATTGACCCACAGGTAGGCTCAATGTGCTCATTTAACAATAAATATTTTCCATCACGTTAACACAATTGATGTACATTTTAAATCAGTTGGTTGTGGATTAAGTATATTCATATCAAAAGTTGCCCATAAAACCATCATTTGGACTAGATTGTGTTATATGTTAATAAGTCAATCCTTCTTGCATCAGGATTTGGGGGCTATTTCTTAGGATATGCCCATAGAATCCTTTGAAATGTCAAAATTTTAGTAGTTGGAGTTCTATAATAATATAAATAATTAAGCTATGATATGAGGCTTGCTTCTTGGAGTTGAGTTTCTATGTTTTGTTAGCTAGAGGCATCTGGTGCTGCCCAAAGCATATTCAGAGTCATGTATAATTAATGACAAAGGAACATTCGGAGAAGCTGCATAAAGTGCTTGGAGTCAGATTGTATCTTAAAGAAAGAGCAGAGGAGAAATTGCAGATGTAAGCAGTGCCCCAGCATATTGACAAAGGGTAGTCATTGTTACTCAGACCTGGCACCAGGTGGCTTCATCTACCTGAATCAAGCATCAGCAACTCTTTCTGTGGTAACATCAGGTTCAAAAGTGGGGAGAGACAATGGTGTTTGGTGCAGTCAGGCTTGAGGGGGTGAGATTGTTTCTCGTGATGGTATGATGTAAGAGAGGCTCAGGGGTAGGCTTGGTCTTGCAAAAAATGCACAAGAAGAAACCTATTTATAGAAGTTTTACTTTCTGCCCTAATCATCCACAACACTTGCCTTCAGTAAGTCAGGAACCCAAGGAGCCTGCAACAAATATAGTCAATGATGGTCATAATCCTGAGCTTCCTCCTGATACTTCACAACTTCAGCACACTATTTTGGTTGGCAGCAATACAATTTTGTACAAAACACAATGGTTGTGGTTTTCCAAATTCTCTGTGGGTTTTTTGTCTATCAATTTATTTTTGCTGTATGATGGAACACTCTGGAGGAATTTATAAACTTGAAAGTCTTGCTGCTCTTGTGAATGAGATCTTGTTTGTTATCATCTTATTCTGCTTTGTTTTATTCTGGAGAGGCATACACTTTCACACTGTCCTGACACCATTGTCACTGGAGGAAAGGAGGAAGTGTGAGACTATGAGAACTAGCATTTGAAGTGCTGAATCCATATACCCATTCCCCAATCTCAGGCACCAGCACTGTCTCAGAGTCACAGTAGGTCACAGCTCACTGGACTTCACACATAATAAGGTATTAAAAGGGAATCCCAAAATAATTTAAAATATAACAGAAAAGATGAATATAGAGGCAGATTTTATAAAGTTGAGTCATGTTACACAGTAAAAAGACCCAACTGATGTGTTTCTGAGGCCATATTACCCTTTTATTATGGCTGATGTTACCTGATTATTAAGGTTCACAAAGCAGACACTGTGCAGTAAGTTCTGAGTAAATATGTGGGGATTTTGATTTCTTTTAATTATTGATTTATTTGTAAAGATCGGCATTCTCTCCATCAAAATGATCCTAATGCCAGTGTGAAACCTTGATACTGATGGGTAGTTGAAAAGGGCCTTCTCTAAATCAGCTGTTTTTAAAAATATTAAAACAGGGAAGCTATGGGTACCAGGTTATATTTTAATATTCCTTCTGGAATGAGTTAAATGCATTACATGAACTTAAGATCACTTGGCTTCTAAGTGGACATCACTTAAACTCCTTTTAATTTGCCACACTAAAATGCATGATGCTTCTAACAGTTTGTAAATAAATGAGACTACTGTAACAATATTAGACAAAAAAAAATGCCATCACTTGTTATAGTCACATTTCCCAAGGTAGGGGATGTGGACTGCATTTTGCAGGATGAATAAAAATAAATGCTTTTTTTTCACAGCTAGAATGAAGAGACATTTTACATAGTACCTTGCAAATATATGTAGTAACAGTGTAACTGTAATAGTCTACTGTACTGTAATAGGTTGGCAAATGATAACAGATTAGACCTTGCCTCAGACTATCTCCAAAAATATATTTAGATTATAGAGTATGAAAAATGTGGTTTACATTCTGTCTGCAATATATAATAGATCTCTGGCATGTTCTTCAATGTGACATTTGTGACAGTATAAATGGCTACTTCTCTATGTAAAATCATATAAACTAATACAGAGTTTGTGATTCTTCTGACAAATTGAGAGTATATACAAAAATTCTTCTCTTGAGCCCTATCTATCACCAGTTCCCAGATAATGGAGTTGATTTTCAATGAATGCTTTTAAAATATAGATATTTCCTATAGATATTCTTAAGTACAGAGAGAATAACCATGTGTTTAGAATAGTCACTTAGACAAATCTTTACATAAAGCAGATTGAATGATTCCTGGAAGTCTTTTTCAGCCTTATGGTTACAAAACACATTGTTTATCACCAGGACATTTATTGATGAAATATATCATAATAAGCTCTAAACTACCACACAGAGTAAGCAAAAATGACAGTGAGCTTGGCTCTCTCACACACACCTGGGCTTTAAGAAGCCCCTGAGCACAGCTCAGGCATTTTCTAATATTGCCATGAGAACTGAGGTGCTTTCAGCCTGTTCTGCCCATGCTGGCTGTAAACTTCTCACTGTCCCCTGTGAAGGAAGTGGGTTAATATCCCAGTCCCTTGAAGCAATCCTTTGTGAATTGTCCTCACGAGAATACCTTGAACCTCTCTCCCAAAGGGTTTAAAAGTGAAAGCTAGGCCCAGGGAAGAATGGGGCAGGCAAGAGTTTAGAGAGATCAATGTCCATGTCTTGGATTCTCCACATGAAGAGTGCTGCACTAATGTTCTTGTGGACCCCCAGGTGAGAACAGAGTTGAAATTATAAAAGGGGTCACAGTTATAACAAATAGTTGGCACATGTATAAATGTTTTCTTGTTGACACAGAGAACTTAAAAACATTAATTAAGTCTCACAGATTACATTGGAAATTAGTTAACATAGACCTTAGCTGAGTTATGTCACAACTGAATCATAATGCAGCCCAAATCCCTGAACAGAGAAGAAAGAATACATCGCATTCAGTAGACGTAATCTACCAATGAATACACCTGTTGGAGTAAGAAAACATTCTCTCCAAGGTTTCAAGGAAGCAAATGCTTCTAGCTCATTCACCTCAATAGAAATTTAGGTTTCATAGCTGATTCAAAATAGGAAAACCTGGACACACTGTGCTCCTAATATCAGTGTGCGCTATAATAATATTTTCATGCAAAGTTGATTACTGGGAACAAGTCTTCATTTTAGCAGAACATGCGAGGGAAACCTGTTGTAACAATGGTGATCATGTATTCTAAAGATTAGACCTACTTTAATGTTCATGAAGATGATTCCATGAAATTAAAACCACATTGAGCAAACTGCAGAAGAACATTTTTTAAAAATCCCAAAGCCATAAAATACATGGTTTTCTTGCTTTGTGTTATGCAATAAGAAACAACATTCTTGGCAAAATGGCAAAATGTCCTGACACTTCTTTGTCAGTAATGCCAGTGTCCAGGAATGTGCTTCTGAGGGTGGCAGTCAGCTTAGGAAATATCAACTGAGGAAGGGGAGAGAAGTTACTCACATGTCATTTAGTAGGATGCTGTTTATTAGAATGCAGATTAATATTGAAAAAACTACCCATATACATAAGTGCTAAGTTGAAAAGGGTCCAATGTAACAAAGCATTTGTTTTTAGCTGATATGTGTTAGAAAATGGCAAAAGACCTTAATCTTAGTTACAGATACATCTGCGACTAATAAATTCCATTTCCTCTGGACTCCATGCTCCATAAGTTAAGTCTGGAAGATATATTTACTAAGCAGACATACAATGCTTTCTCAGCATCTGAGATCCTTGGTTATATGTATTCTCAGTCCAAGCACTAATCTCTCTAGATAAGTGAAACTATATTAGATTAGTAGGTTAGTATAATGTACCATCAATACAGTAGCAGATTCCAAAAATCTAATAATGTCATGTGAAATGTAATTATCTAGAAGAAGAGATATGTATAAAAATAGGTAATATCCCTAAAATATTTTGCTGAGTTACAATTCTTCCTGCTGGGAAGGTTACCACACTACCATGATATATGTATGAAATGTCTGTTCAGAAAAAGAAAATTAGAAAATATTCCTCACCTGCCAATTCACCAAATGTAGGAATATATACTCAAAACTGGCTCTCAAAAATGGCACAAACATATAGGGGAAGATGCCTATATGCATGACAAACAAGAAAACATGGAGTCTATTTATTGGTTAGTTTTTAAAAGGGCCCATACTCATAATATATTTATATATATTGAATGATCAAAAACACTCATGTGGATGGACACATCTGGTTTCCCCTCGCCCTCTAGCTTTTCAAGGATTATTGCCGGACATAATACAGAAATTCTGCTGCTTGTCCTCAGCAAAGCATTGAGAGAGGAACCACCTCTTTCCACTCTCCATAGTGACCCATGTTCTGGGCTTGTGCTTTTTGAAGGAGTCTTTGATCTGCAGCAGGTCTCAGAGGCTTGTCTCCCGGAGGAACATGGTGCCAATGTTGTAGGAAACCTTTTTTATTCTCGATGAAGAAAGAGAAGGCTTTGGCTGCTTTGGACCAGTCCTTACCTCCAGGAAATAGCAGATCCCAGGAATTTCTTTTGGGAAGTTGTCTGGAAGCTCTTCACGGGACCGAGGGATGAATGTAAAACTTTCTTCTCGTTTTAATAATCTAAGAAGAAAATATAGGTAACATGGATCAAACAGAAAGGGAAATGTGAATAAAAAAAATTCTGAAGGCTGAGAAAGCCTATCCATGACTGTGCACACACAAACACCTCTATTGACCTTCCTAGGACTCTAGCTATGAAATCCTGACTCAGGAAAGATCCCTTTATGTTATAATGATGATGATGATAAGAAGAAGAAGAAGAACTGCTCAAAATATTTTACTCCTTAAAATATTTATTTTATTTCTTACTGAATACCAGCCCTTGAAGAATATTTGTTCATATTTGATTTTTTCCCTAAACAAAGGGCTAAGAAAATTGCATAATAAGAAAACTGTATAATACAGGTTTTGTTTTAAACAGGCAGGACTTACTTGTCTGGTTTAAAAGCCTGCCTAAATTCTACAGCTTTCCTTTTAGGTTTTGTAGACTCTCAATAAACTTTAAACATATGTCCTTTATGTCAAACATGTAACACAAATATTTAGATTTACAGAACATTTTGTGTCTCCAAGTGTCTGTGATATCTGGTTACTGACATCTAGCAATACATATTTTTCAATTTCACCATCACTTATTAGTCAGATAAGTTGACTTGTCCCTTGCAATCACACATAGAGACTCTTCAAAATAGTAACTTTGCAGGGGATTTATTCTTTAAACTTGCCAAGCTCCATGAAAGGTTCTGTTTGATACTCACATTTAAGAATGTAGCTAAACATTTTCACTGAATTCACTCTTTTTGGACTACTTAATGTTTAAGAAAATCTCCTAGATACTCCTAAGAATGTAGTAAGTAGAACACACTCTTTTGTTAACAGAAAAGGAAACAGGAAATAATGGAAAGAAAAAAAAAATTCCCTAAACAATAAAAAAAGCAAAGGAATGTAATGTGAAACAAGAATAGATGCTATAAGAAAGCTAGACATAGAGGTAAATACAAAAAGCTGCAAAAGTTCAGAGGAAGAAAAATGTTTGGGGAGAGCATTTCATTAGGACACAGTTCTGAAGTCTACACTGAGTTTAGACTTTATTTGGAAGATACCATGAAGACAAATCCATCAACCTTTACCTAAAAGCAACTCATGCTCATATGTCAGGTTAATATTAACAGCAGCTCAAGTAATGTCAGGTAGGCAATGTGGGAGAAAGAAGGCATGCAAGAACAGAGGATGCACGAAAATTCATTATAGGAGCAATGATGAGAATCTCTATGCAAGGAGGAAAAATCATTTTTTCTCAATGGTCTGAAAAAAAAGCATGCTGGCAGTAGTAATAATTGTTATGACATGAGCAGCCTGACTTGAGCATACCTTTATGAACCAGAGTTGTAGTATTTTGCTTTCTCAAGGATAAAGGAACAGTTCTAATTGTCTATTCTTTAAAAACATTATACAATGATCATATTATTTTGGGACATAATAAAGTGAGGCTCATTTTGACATTTTTAAATTCTTTCAGAGTCTTATCCCTTTTATCCATATGACATAACTTTATGCAAAAGCTAAAAAGTTTCTTCTCTGCTAAATCTATGGAGGGTGGAAATGAGTTCAGAGTAAGAGTGATTTGCTTAAGGAAACAGCAAGACAGTAATGGCAGTGGCATTGGAATATAGATGTGTTAATTCCTAGTCAAGCTTAGCCCTACAATAAATAATAAGACTATGTTAAGATAGTTTTCCATCACAAAATAACTAAATTGAGATACAGGGGATGCATTAATGATAATTAGAAGGGAAATCTTCAGTATTGTTTGCATTTTTTTCATTGGCATAGTTATTAATTTTCACTACATATAATGTATAATTGGTCATTTCAGAAATAAAGTGTAAGCATAACTAAATAATAGTGGAAATCCATATTGAAAAATATGGTAAAAATATTGAAAAATAGTGAAAATCCATTATTGTGGATTTTCAGTAAATCCACATAATTTTGTTTACCTCAAATGGAAGAATTACTGATGTGCCACATTGGGTGTCAACCAATGATATCAATCAATCAACAAACATTTATTCAGTGCCTGACATGCTAAAAAGTGAGGACACACAAAACACATTAACAAACTTAGAAGATGAGAAATGTGCATAGAAACAAATTATGAATACATGACAATATATGATATAACATGTAATGTACTTAAAAAACGAAATTCTGTGGGATGGAGGAAGAAGAGATGATTATGGATTAAAGTACAAAGTCAAGAACCAGCACAGTAAAGTTCACTATCACCAGTCGTAGCACAGAGCTATAAACTCTGTTTTCAAAGCTTCCTTAAAGCCCCAAATCAGCAATTAAGAACTCCATTTGCACTACGTTTCCTTGTTTCTATCTTTTAAGTCTTCAAATTTATCTCTTTTACAGTTTGTTTGCCTCAGTGTGGGCTTTATGTCTAGCTATAATTTATATTCTCTGACCATGAAGAATCAAATTGGTGTTACATCTATGGACGTACTTATAAATGATGGAAAGAGGACACCAGCTGCTTTGGATGCTAGGACTCTTTAAATAATTTACAGTACTTTGGCTTGGAGGAAAGTCTTCACAACAAATGGGTTCCTTGACATTTAAAATAAATCTCATATACTAACACTAGAAAGCATAGAGACAACAGATTTAATGAGATTTTCTTTTTTCCAAGTAAACATTTTGGTATCAATAAACTAAACACAGTCTTAAATTTCAATAATAAAAATGAGAGCACATAAGGATAAACTGATTCAACCTCCTGTGATATCCAGGATTTAGCAGTCTGTGTATAAATGCACACTGATGTGCAATATTCAGGTGTCTTTCAGTACGATCATCTGAATGACTTACTGGAGGCACGAGGAGAAGGGCAGGGGAACATTTCATGCAGTGTGCCTGGTGATGATATGAGACATGCTACTGCATAAATGATCAAGTGCATATACAGGAATTAGGAGTGTAGACCCTAATCACCCCAGAACCTCCCATCCCCTCTGAAATGCATTAAGTCCAACTCTCTGGTCTAAAGCTCTGCCTAACAGTCCATTTCCTAAGCACCACTGGACTGATATGGAAGCTTAGAGTCTACATAAATCTAAATTAATCCTGAGCTGTAATCCCAGGATGGTTGATATGCCACCTAGGAGTTTCAGCAACATGTTTTATAAGTATTCAGAAGCCATAAATCCCGGTTTACCTGCCTATCACCCTTGTTCCTATTGACATCGAGTTAGC